AATCTGAAATTTTTTTATGGGTTTAAAAAAAATAGTTTAACCGATTGGTAATGATTCTTTCCATCAGTTTACAACATGCATTTGTTAAAGAGATAGGTCTGTAGTTTGATAGATGGCTTTAGAATGGGAATAATAACAGATTTTCTCCAATCAGAGGGTACACTTGTGTTCCAGATAATATTATAGAAGCTTAGCAGGTCAGTTTACCTAAATTGAGGAAAAGTTCTGCTGGAAGATCATTTGGGTTTGCACTTTTACCCCTCTTTGCCTCCTCCATTGCTTTCAATAATTCATTATAAGTAAATTTGTCATTCAAAAGCTGGTCATCCGCTTGATTCAGACGTAAAAAAAACTATAATTTTGAATAAATTTTTAAATTGAATTATGAAAAACTATGTTTGACAGTAAAAAATACTGCCCCAATATAAAATTTGAATCAGTTCAATATTTCAAATCCCTGTAAAAGAAAATAATAAATTTGCTAAACATTATTTACGGTTTTAACCTACTTTTATTTATACCTTAGCTTGTTTGAGCATGCACAGTGGGCGCTGTCCAGCGGTGATTTAGTGTATTAAGCTAAATGAGAATTGGAGTTTTCAGAGTGTGTGTGGGAGATCAGACGAGCAAGAGCGTGGAATTACGGTGTCCATCACAAGTGTTCCGACATACGCCTTGAGCTACCGAGTGTGAAAATAAAGGAGTTATGTCAACATCCTCGTCTGGTTTCCTGAAAGAAAACACATAGGGACCACACTCCAACATTTTTTACTCAGAAAGGTATTGAATGGAATTTTATTCCACCAAGGTCTCCACATATGAGAGGTCTTTGGGAGGCGGGCATAAAGTCAGTGAAATATCACCTCAAGCGAGCACTGGGAAGATCCTGACTCGCATACGAGGAGTTTGAAACAGTGATTAACCAGGTGGAAGGAATTTTAAATTCCAGACTCCTTACACCTATATCCAATGATTTTGATCAGTTTGAGGTATTAACGCCTGCACATTTCTTGATTGGTAGATCAATTAATTCTATTCTTGAGCCTCTCTCTCTCTCTCTCTCTCTATAGTAATTAATATTAATGACAATAGGTTAAGCCGTTGGCATAAAACAACAAAGGTAATTCAGGTAGTTTGGAAAAAATGGAGTACCAATTATCTGAATACTCTCCAACAGAGAGAGGAAAGTGGATGATCGAGAAGGACAATGTAATGTGTGGTACAAAGGTAATTGTAAAGGAGGATTTTACACCAGTTTGCAACTGGCTTTTAGGGTGCGTCGTTGAGGTCTATCATGGTTCTGATGGTAAAGTGAGAACAGTCAGAATTAAAACAAAGACTGGAGAATTTAAGAGGCCCATAACTAAGATCTGTATTCTACCTATAGATGTAAATAGTTAATGTCAATTTCCATTAAAGAAATTATGCGTTTATCTTTAAATTGTGCTATTGTAGTTTTAACTTGTTTTTTTACTGAAAATTTATAGTACTTTTTGTATATATAATAATTTTGAAAACAATTGTGTAATTTCAAACTTGTGAATTGTGAAACTGTATTGTGCTATTGTTGAATATTAATATTGCAAGGCTGTGTGTGTGGGGGGGGTATGTTCGAGCATGTGCAGTGGGCGCCGCCCAGTGGTGATTAAGTGTTTTAAGCGAAATGAGAGTCGGAGTTATCAGAGTGTGTGTGGGAGATCAGAGATGAATGAGAGTGTGGAATTACGATACCCATCGCAAGTGTTCCGACATACGCCTCGAGCAACCGAGTGTTAAAATAAAGGAGTTTTGTCAACATCCTCGTCTGGTTTCCTGGGAGCAACACATAGGGACCACTCCCCAACATAGCTATTTATAATTTTAAGGCTTTTAATAGAAATTTTGAATAGCAGAAATAGCTATGTGTGTGTGTTTTTGATAATGAAGTAATATAAGTATAAGAGATATACTCTATTGTCTTGTAGGAGTATAGCTATGAATTCTTGTTTCCAACTCCAAAGTTCCTATCAGCTTCTGCAACAGATACTTCCCACAAGGGAGCTATAGCCCCAATGCCTGGGGTAATCGAAAAAATAAGTGTTAAGGCAGGAGACAAGGTCAAGAAAGGAGATCCTCTAGTTGTTATTATAGCTATGAAAATGGAGGTAATGTTAGGCTTTTTTTCAATTCCTACTATTAGTTCACACTCTCCCCCTATATATATATCTATATATGTGTGTGTGTGTGTGTGTGTGTGTGTGTGTGTGTGTGTGTACTAGCTGTATGGCCCGGCATTGCACAGGCTATCTCTACTTTTATAAATTTTCCCTTTCTTTCACAAAATCAGAACTTCTAATACTCATTTTCAAAATGACTTCCACCCCCTCCTCCGCTTAGCCCGGCGTTGCTCGGGCTTTCTCTTTTCCTCAGAACACCAGCATTTCTATGTGTGTGTTCTTATACGCGCACAATGTGAGTGATTTCTAAAATTGTGTCAAAAAATTTCCCTTTTTCTAAATTTGTTCCATTCCACTTATTTTTTATTTAAGACAGGTTCCCCCCCTCTCTATAGCCCAAACACGGTTTTTTTTTAGTGTAAAATTATTGTTCTATCTTCTCCTTCTCACAGATAAGATATAGCTTCAAATTTTGATGTATGACTTATAAAAAAAATATTGCATTAAAATTAAAAAATTATTAATGTGAAGCATTAAATAGAAAACCATTCTGATGCTAAGAATAAAACAAAAAACTTTCATCCTTTTTTATAATAGTTAGTTTCTAAGAATCTAAAATAATAGAATAGATCTCAGATTTTCATGAATCAGTCAATCGTTACATATAGTTAGCTTAAAATGTCTCTAAAATGTATTTTGATCCAAAATAATAGACGGTGTGCTTTTTAATTAACAAAGAATTCATTTAGTAATGAAATAATAGAAATAATCCTTTTAAAAAAACATATATATATTTATTAAAATCAAATTTCTATAAGTAATAAATAAAAGAAAAATTTGCAGATAAGTATTGAAACAATTGCTTTTTTCTGAATGTTTGATTAAACATATAAATATAAATAAGTTAGAAAAAAAAAGTATGGGGGAAAGCCTAGATATATATACGTATATACATGTACTGAAAAAAACATTAAAAAAACCGATCTGATAAAAACATTTTGATATCTTATTTTATTTGTGTGACCTTTTTCATTCCACTAAAAAAAAATTTAAACTTTAAGAAGTAGCGTTATGCGAAATTGAGTGTCTCTTCCTCTTCAGTTTCGAACCTGGGAACTACCGTTTTATAAAGCAACGGGTTTAAAAACCATGTCGTGCGCTCCTTCGGGGAAGAGCAGTAAAAATACCTTTAAAATATCGGAGGATTTTTCAATTTCTCATTTTGTTTTTTGTTAAAGTTTAAAAAAAAATTTCGGGCTTCATTTTTAAGTTAATATTTTCAAACTTCATATATCGATTGCAAACAACGGTAATTTTTAAACAAAATACTTTTTTAAAAAGTAATGTTTACATATTGTTACGAATGTTGTGTAAATAATTTGTATTTGAGTGTTTAATGCATTTATATTCCTCTATGTTATATTTATTTCATGTTAAAATTCTACTATTCACAAGAAGTGCCGCCCCTTACGTTATAATGGCGATTCAATGAGAACTTGGCGAAATCTTGGCGGTAGAGCCAAGTTGGCATCATTTTTTGCGACCAAGTTGGCGAGTTCGGAACCCTCTGGAATCTTCTAGAATGTAGTAGATCTCTCCACTATTGTCACATTCAATGACACGAGCGGTTATATTTCTAGAAGTTTCTGTCGCGCATATAAAAAGGATGCTCACCGGTACGGCGAGGAGCCTTGATTAAGCCAGCGAGTAGTGAGGATTGTTTTGACTAGCGATTAGCTCGGCTGTGCTTGTGAATAATCTTTACTTACGTGTATTTTTAAACACTGGTTATTGTGTTTGATTGCTGTTGAAGGTGTGAAAACCTTCGGATATTTACCCTGTGAATATTGCCGATAAATCCTGTATTGAAAGGATTGGATTTTCGATAATAAATTCGCATCGCTCTTAAAGAACTGATTATTTTTTTCTTTTTAAAACCGTAATTTTTAAGATATTTTATCAATCTTTGTACAGATTACCTATGATATTGTTCAACACGCGGAAAAAAAGTTTCGTGAGATTATTTTTATTAATAAAGAAGTTATTAAGTATTTAAATAAAATTTTGAGTATTTTTTGAAAAATCGTAAAAAAAACCAGTTTTTGACATTAAATTTTTTAAATGACTGATTATAAAAGAGAAAAGCATGAACTTTTTTTGTGTGAAATAATTTTTTCATTAACGCGAAAGAAAGTGACGCGAAACAACTTAGAATTCGTATTCAAAAAAAGGAACCAATTTCGACTCATTTTAAAAAAATCGTAAAAATTCAAAATATAATTATTTTGTAAAATAAATTATAGCATATCGTGGCGAAATAAATGATCTTTACGAATCTTTAATTATTTTTTGTGTGAGTTTCATGAAAAAAATTAGATCGCGTATTAAAAACGTCTGAAAAAAAAAAGTTCTGAATTTTCCCCTGGTGGTGAGAAATGGTACTAATTATGCGTCTTAAGATTTTTAATTAATATCTTTTTAACTAATTGGAATATCGGAAAATAAATGGTCAATACGGATTCCTCGTATCATTCCCGAAATTTTGGTACCTTCGACGAATTTCTTCGTCGTGTGGTTCGTGAGAAAATCGGGCATCATACATAGATACGTTTGTTTACCTACGAATTTTAATAGTGTAGATCTTGCTCAAATTTTCAATCAATAATAAAATACTTTTTATTCATCCACTCAAGTTCAAATACATTTTTTTAAACTTGTATTGGAGGACACTTGATGTTAATATATTTTTTTCAAAAACATTAATTCTATTTAATTAATGAATAAATAGTAACAAACAAAATTAATAGTACAACACCATATATAAAAAGGAAAATTGCTTGTTGTGTCCCTGTTGTGCAATGGATAGTGCGTTGGACTTCTAATCCAAAGATTGGGGGTTTGAATCCCTCCTGGGATGGCCCAATTTCTGAGAATGTGATTTCTTTTTACTATTCCATTTTATTGGAATAATTAAATTTAATTAATGAATAAAAAGTAAGAAAATAATAGTCCAACACCATACATAGAAAGGAAAATGAAAAATTACTTTCTATTTTGCCACTTAATATTGTGATTCTGTCATATGTATATATATATATATATATTTAGATTAATTGTAATTATTTAATAAAAAGTAACTAAAATAAAAAATTTCCTAGTTGACCTAAGTAGGAACTGACTTACATTTTTTTTTACGTTACTTGTGTGTGTGTGTGTTTATTTTCTTATAGCAATACATTTAATGCTTTTATGGTCTTATACATAATTTGACTTCTTTTTTCTAATTATTTTAACTACGAAAAATTAGAGAATACATATTGTCTATTATTGATAAATGTAAAACTAACAATTTTAAATATGGATTTCTTTTCTTTTCAGTATGTTATAAAGGCTCACTGTAACGGAACAGTCGATAAAGTATTTTTCAAGGTTGGAGATAATGTGACTAAGAATGCTCAATTAGTAGATATTAGTAATGAACCTTCTAAATAAGAATGTTACTGCATTATAGTGTTTTTTATGAGTGAAAAATTTATTTGTATAAAGATGATTATTTTTATATATGATAATAAATATTTTGCATATGTGTTATTGAAATCATTTTGAATTGGAAAATACCTAAATTTGAATTATATTGTATGCGTGGTTGTTAAATACAAATGAAAATATGAGAATCTGCATCAATTAAAAGTAAGAATGATAGAAAGCATTTCACATTTAAAAAAAAAAACGCTTTAAATTTAGACTTACTTTTTAACTTAAGGTTAAAATAACAAACTACCATGAAATCCGGCATATAAAGTGCACCTATACTTTCAAGCTGCAATTTTTAATGTTTAGGTATATTCACCGTATAATGCGCATCCCCTTTCTTACAAGTGAGTAAATATTATCGTGGCAATGTTCAACTACTCGAGGGCTTTTGTTGACGGACCTTGTCATTTTGAACCAGGGTCGAGTGACGAGGACGACACCTGAGCTAAAATACTAATTTATGCATAATTGCTACCAAAGTTAGGGGGCTGGAGTAGCCCAGTGGTTAAGGTATCAGAACATGGCAGGCATGTCATGAGTTCGAGCCCAGTGCCACTAAAGACCCACCGTGTAGAGGAGCGACACACGTCAAATCTGTCAAGAGCTCAAACGTCCTCCCTTTAGTGTGGTGTGGTTCCAGCTCAGGTGTCGTCCTCGTCACTTGATCATGGTTCAAAATTACGTGGTCCATCGCTAAAAGCCCTTGTGTAGCTGAACAGTGCGACGTTAATATTTACTCACGTTACCAAAGTTAGGGTCTCGTGGGGCATTCTTCTCTTGGTTTGTTCCATTTTATTTTTTAAAAATTTCTGATATAAGTACTATTTCTTAATTAAAAATTAGTACTTTTTTTAAAAAAGATTTTTGAAACAGAAGTGTAATTAATTATTTAAAAAATATATTAATGTTTAAAATGTATCCATCATTTTGTACAATAAACTGTTTTATTGGTACTGCCTTCTGTTTTAATGCTCTTTGCCAAAATTAAATTGTCAGCATTCAAAATATTTATGTTTTTACAAGGTAGAAAATTTTCAAGCATTATTTCGGCATGCTGTCCGCCAAGTTGATGCCATAAATTTTCACCTAGTTGGGCAATAGCCTTGCAATACGGATACCATGATTCTGATCGTTTGGTGCAATAGTGATTGCGTATATGGCAGCTATTTTTCATTGGTTTATTTTATTGCAGTAACGCTATTAATTCCAAACAATTGATTCAATTTCTTGAGAAAAAAAATTACCGTATTTATATTGGACGCTGTTGTTGTAGTGTCCTTCCCATAGAATTATGGATATATCAAAATTTATTGGTGAGTACCATTATATATCTTTTGTAAAGAGTATGAGGGTTAATTATTACAGACCAAAATGTTTAACGAATTTGCACTTATGATATGTATTATTTCCTAATGGCTTTCTTTTTTCATTCTTTCTTTTATCCATTTCACTTATTCCGGCCATTACAAAATGTGAAACGTGGTGGCAAAATGAAGTTCCTAAACAAAATAAGAAATTGGACAAAGGAATACAATAAATAGCAAATTTCCTTCATTCTGCTTTTGCTTAAAAACTTTTTTACTGTGCTCCTTGATCAATGAAATACAAACACTGTATGGAAAGTACTTGGTGTCATTTCAAAGCTTCCTTGCCTGAATAGAATATTGGAGATTTGAAAACTACATCGCGTGGTATATGTTTAGAAAAATTTGTGTCTCCAATAAAAAAATGTATCTTTTCCTAAATTTTTTGGAAAAATGCACATTCTGTTTTGTTGCTGCACGCCGCCATTGGCGCAGGCCTATGACGAGTGGTGTACTATGATATAAATTTTTATTTTCATTTTTTCCCCATAATCAGTATTGTATTGTGACTTTTATTTAATGTACACAGAGAAAAAAGGTTTACTCAAAAATGAGTACGTAGATACACTCAATTTGAAATGTCTATGATTGCATCAGATTTGACCGCATGCCTTAATTGAATTTGATTCCTTACATATACTCAAAATCTCCTAAAATGCTAATTAATGCTTTCGGAAAAATTTTAAAAAATATTCAGGATTGCAGAAACTCTTTTAATATATCGGCTACATATTTTGATAATTGGGGCTTAACAACAAATTTAATTCTCATAAATCTTCTGAACTATTTTTTGTATCTACCACGCTACTCGCGGAAGAACACAGGAGTACAAGATTGTTTTGATTTTTGAGTTAAATGTTCTCATTTGTATTTCTTAAGTAACTGCCTTTGAACGAAAAATTTAATGGGATAAATATTCACCTTATTTTGGCAGATTAGTGTTATAAATGTAATATAATTTACTTGATTCATAATAAGTCATTTTGTTTAAATTATTCAGGCAAATAATTTTGTTACTTTGGAATAATTTTAAGGTGACCAGATTTTTAAAATGAAAAGGAGAACGAAAAATTTAAGAAAAAGTTACAACGTAAATATATGAAACATTTTATTAATTCAAACAAAAATGCATTTTTTCGTTTCTCAATATATTTTATAATTTATCGGAAATTTCGAAGCAAAAATTACCTTTCATCTTTACTATAAGTACTGCAGCTAAAAAATATCAACATTCAATCTTGATTTCTGACTTGTCCATAAATTAAGAACTGAAAAGAGACTCAACTGGTGCATTAGTTCCAGGGCAGCACAATGTAAATTAAAAAAGAATAACTAAATTTTCTTATGGGATGTGTTTATTTTTGAAATGGTTAAGTATTTCATCCCATCTTATCAATTTCAGCATGTTGATTTTCTAATTGTTTCAATTTTATTATAATTTAAATATACATTCAGTCTGCAAACTGACCATTGTCAATGATTTTAATATCAGGCATTTCTTTTGATAAAAAAATCAACACAGTTTTGTATATCTGCCCAATTTACTTGCGATAAAGTCAAAAAACACCATTGAAAACTGTTATTTCCTGTGATATTTGTTTCAGACTATTCCTCGACATATTGGAAACATGTTTGGTTCATCTCTGAATACAGAGATTAACAGATCTGTTTTAAAATATTGAAAAAAGGAGGACACTTTTAGAGGAAGGACAGGATCAATAAAAGGAGAATGGTTGATCATCTTAATAATTTTAGCTTTACTTTCATATTGAACTCTAAAATGCCTTGCATGGTTTGAAAAAGGCAAGTTTACAAAATAAATTTTCGTTTTCAATTAGTAATCTTTTTAGACTCTTTTATAAGCTTCACCTATATGTAACGGAATCTTTGAACTATATTTTTACCCACTCTAAAAGGTCTGATTAATTCGAAATTTTGCACACTTTTCAAGGACTGATGACAATACAATAATTTTGTTCCATTGTCCTGATAAGGATCATGACGATTAACAATTTCCCATTTCCAGATTTGGTGACTAAAAGATTAAGTTATAACTCTAAAGCGAAAACACTCATGTCAGTAATTTCTTATTATAATATAAACAATTGCCCACTTTCTTTGAAAATGGAAATAAATAAATGATAGTTTAAAAAATTAAAAAAGCATGCTTTTATTGTAGATCGAACTAAAAAATGAAAAATAAATTATAGTTTAAAAAAACCAAAAAACACGCTTTTATAGTTAAACTAAAAAGTAAAAAATAATTCATAATGTAAGAATAAAATAGTCAACGAGAAAATATATATTAATGTCATTGTGGTAAAAGCGTGGGGTGCTTTTGTTCTACATTTTTACACTAACTCGGCATTTCAGAATAGAACTAGTAAGAAATTATAACAATTGATATTGAGCACCCCACATTTTTATCACAATGACATTGTCTCGCTAATCATTTTATTCTTATATTAAGAATTATTTTTTCCTTTTTAGTTCGATTAACTATAAAAGTGTTTATTTTTTTTAAACTATAATTTTTAGGAGTCTAATTTCTTGTAAGTTTTAAAGAACCTTTTTAGCTTATTAGTAAATTTATGGAAAATGTGTTAAAAGTTCTCATAAAAAATTATTTAAAGAGCTTCAACAATTTCAATATACTTTATGATTCCTTTCACTCTCATTTTCGAATATTGAAAGAATCAAAATTTACTGAACAGAAATTACAGAATGAGCAAAATTAGTAAGTAAAATTGAATGTAATCTATATTTCAAGAATGCTTTTTATTTTTAGACATTACATATAAATATTAAATGTTCTTGATTACTAATATTTAACGACTATTTTGTTTTATTAATAATTGATCGACATTGTTTAAATTGGATTTATCAGTACTTACATATTATCACAACCTTTTGGCGACATTATATGAAATGAAGCATATATGATTGGCAATTCAGCGCATATGACACATGCGAAATTGGTATTGCCAACAATTATTGCCATGTATGTAAGTACTAATTT